AAACAATAAACTTTATAAATATTATCCTTAAATTGTGAATTCTTTAATAACGAAGTTATTTCCCGGTGTGCATACACATTACACAATACACTTTTAATAATTTTGTATAATCGTAGAACAGTTTTTGTTTTGTTTTTAAATTTCAGTCGCAACAACTCGAAACAAAAATATTTATCGATTTTCGATATTACATAGCCCACATAGGCAATTTTTTAAGTCAATAGGTTAAAAAAATGTAATATAATAAATTAACAACATAAATATACCAAATTTTTTTTTAGTTTTATTTATTTATTAATTTTTTTTGTTCCATTGTAAAATTATTTGCAATTATAGAAATCTTTCAAAGGTTTCAACTAGACGACAGATTTTCAAACTAATTCCATCCACCGACCACTTTGAGAATCAATAATTTTCTAATTTTCGAGAAAGACTGATTTAGACCTTCCTTCCCACATAAAGTACATGTTTCATTTACGGATGTTCACATCAAAAACGTAATTTTTGAAAAATCCCAGTAGTGTTTTTATAAGCAAACATTTTATATAAATTTATTCGTATAATAGTATTTATAATAATCATGAAAAACGTAATTAGCGATAAATTATTTTGAGAAACGTTGGGAATTTTAAAAATTATTTTAATTTCTTATAATTGTCTTACAGTTTCGATATAAACCTTGAAATCCACTTAGACAGGTACTGTTATCGAACACGATATTCATCATTGCATCAAATGTTTAATAAATAACAACAATACAACCTGGAATATGCTGTGTTTAGTATAAATATAAAAATGTTCACGGTTTTTATCATTATTGCCAATTGGAAGTGAAGTAAATCGAATGACATCAGCGCTGTGTAATATAGTTTTATGTACGCCGTCGCAATTCTTTAACACCGCCACTGGTAAAGTGAAATAAACATCTTTGCTGCAGTTTTTAAACAATACTCTTCAAAGTAATCAACATTTATTGTGTATACACTTGCCATAGCCGTTAGTATATTATTAAGTTCACTACATTTGATTAAATCCAAATTAATCCCTTTAATAGCTGTAGACTCCTGAGTTAAAAAAAAAGGGCACGCAGTGCTATTACTGTAAATTGTTTGTACCTTGCCCCAGTAACAATAGTAAATAATTATATTTAATATGCATACATTATACAATAGATACCTGATACATCATATATGAATGACAATTTTTTTTTTTAAAAATGCCACTTCATTATTTATATTCATTCATTGACTTATTTTGATAATATCTCGAAATGTTATTACCATTTCAGCCAATCGTTCCACTTTGAAGAGAATTAATATATATTTTGTAAGCATAAGTTTTTCTTTTCACTGGACATTTCCTTCCGGAAACAACCTGCTTGACTGTATAAGATATCATATTAATATGAAAGTATAATATGTTTTAAGTTTTTTCGAATATTAAAAAAGGTTTATTTTCCAAGTTTTGATTCATAAACAATATGTCAAATGCAATAAACAGGCATCAAACAAATGTAAAGTTTACAATATTTTAATATTATTTAGGTCAATATAACCTTTTGGCTTGCATCCATAATACTCAATCGTTATGATTTTTTAGTTATTGAATTACCATTTTCCCTTATTGAATCGACGACTCATGATGACAGAGAAACCGATATCAGTTTATTTATACTTTTAATAATAATTAAGTGGTGATTGAAAAAAAGTAAAAAACTCTTAGTTCTTTTAAAAATTAATACAAATTACAAAAAATTTAAAATATTTACGTCAACCCAGTATTTTATTTTGTTGATATTCAAAAATGAAGGTTTTTACTTAAATATTTTACATTTTCGTCAAATACTAAGATAACAATTTTGAAATATTATATTATTAACAGAAAATTATGGATCTTTTTGAACTATTTATAGACATTTTAAATGCTCATTATTCATTAGCTTTTAAAGTCGAAAAGCTTACTATTTGATTAAGATTCCTTACAAGTTGGTCTTAAAGCAATTAAAAAATATCGAAAATACATTCTCACAGCTTCTTGTAGTAAAAGTTTAAAGTTCAAATCCAGACAAAAGTTATGCAAATTCGTGGAAATGTAGAAATTATACTGTAAATACAAATTCATAAAATATTTTATGTTTATAGTTAAGGCTTTAAAGTTAAAAATAAATACAAATTTGAAATAATTTGTTCTTACTGGAATTTAAAAAAATAATTAGCTTAAAGCCAAATAAATTTTTGATGAGAATTTGGAGTATGGATTTTGAAAAAAAACTGGATACCTTTCTTGATATATAAAAAATCAATTTCATCTCAAACGAGTTTTTTATTGTAATTCAAAAAATGTACACCTTAGGAACTTAAAACATTCCACAATTACTTGAAATATTATTTTATATATATTACAATACTTGAAGTTTTAAATATTTATATGATTTCCAAGTAGTTATTAGGAATGAAATTTTTTTCATGCTAATTACTATGTCAAAAATCTTGAAAATGTAATGATATAAGTTTCATTATTAGAAGTTTTGACAGCAATCTAAAAAGATAAAATTACATATGATCCTCATTTTTATAGACATGACATATTGTTATTAAACATTTAACGACATTTTATAATTAAATTTAAAAAAACCGATATTTTCTTTAACAATTTTAGTTATTTTGTTATGATTCAAAAAATAATAATCGTGTGGACTTAAAATCACACCATTGCGTTTATTGTTCTTTTTGTCAACACTTTGTGCAATTTTCATAATAATTAAACTAATAATAAGCTTACTATACATTATACCACAAACCTAATTACAGCGTTCTACAAAATTCAGTTATAATAATATTATTACTAAATAATATACATACGAGTATATGATATTATTTGACAATAATTAATTCAACATATCGTATTACTACATAATATGAAAAATACATTACTTATAGTACATTAAAAATAAAATGCCTTACGCCCTTTGAAATAGAGGCTGCGCACCATCTCTACTCAAAATCGGTTTTCCTGTACTATGATTCACCATTTAACTCAAATTTAATACATCCATTTCAGTTACCTACTCATTACTCAATGACTGTACTCTCGACATCTACTATACAGCACAGCGACATTTCTAGGATTTTCAAATTGTAAAACGTCTTCCGTTTCAAACTATTCTCATTCAACCCATTAATGTAGGTAATAAATATTCTAATTCGTTCACGTGTTCGAAGAATTCAACACCTGGATATTTTTTTCGAACTGATTTACCATCAACAGTTTTCAAATAAACTTTTTCTAAACTTTTCCTTAACAGTTTCAATTAATATTTAATGTTCTTTGTCGTTCAGGTCAGCATTGCAAATTATAGTGATATATTCATGATGATTATATCAATACACAATAATCTTTCTCTCGCTCTCGCTATCACTCCCGATGCCATCCGTTGGTTGTCGACACCGGTATGAGTATTTAATTCCAGCGTAATCCATAGTCACCCCAATCATACCTTCTCCCATTCAATCCAGGATACTGCAGGGTGAACGCTGATCGGTAATAAACCGACTGGTACCACGAAGAGATCATGCCGAATGATTTACCTCATGTTATACTTCAAATTCTTAAGCCAATACGACGAGAGTATTATATAATTAATAATACACTACAGAATTGTGCACAGTTTGCATTGGCTTTTATGATATCGACCCAACTTAAGAAACTAATTATAAAACTATCGGCCACAAAACATATATAATTAAAACGATGTTCACAATCAATAATCGTCTATAAATTAAAATACCATTTATACCCGTAATTATTATAAATGTTTCCTATTATTATTCAAATTCAATATTCAGTTTAATATTAAAAATGTAATTAAATATTTAACGAGTATTTACAAATATATTAGTAAGGATTAGATGCCTGTGCCCGAATCTCTAAATTAGCACTGAGACCACAACATGTGTATTATTAATCCTTGAGTGTTTCAATTAAATGCGAAAAGCCAGAACACGTAATCAATTTAAAACCAAAATTAACATATCAAACACACAATAAAAAGTAAACAACACTACATTTTGGTAGCATCGTACAGGACAAGCATCTTAATAATATGATCCCTAAAATGTAATTCAAACTTCAAAAATACATCTTGACCGTACTTGACACCCAAATTTGATTCATCATAATGCATAACAATAAAATATGACATTTCAACACACACTTGCATTAACTACTCAGTTTATGACTTTATCCGACTTCCGAGTTGTCTTAGGCCGTAATAATAAATAATCATTTTTTCGTGCGCAAAGTACAGTAGGTTACTATTTTTGAGTTAATTACACAAACATGGAGAAAAAAAACAATTGCTTAACAAATGAAACCATATTGTTTCGAAGTACACGATGCTATAAATTATTCTCTCGGTATAAAATTAATCGTTAAAAAAGTGCATTGTGTGTACCTATTTAATTAAAATAAATGTGTAAAGGCAATACACGGTATACTATATACTTATTATTGTTTCTGCGGTTTTTAAATTAGAAACATTTTCTTCGGGAGTAAACACTACGATTAGGTATTATAGATATAATATTGTATGCACAGCTATTGATTTTGCAAAATTGTATAGGTAGTAGGTACCTACTAACGTGCACAGTAAACAGTAAAAGTTTTATCGACGAAACACACACACACACACACAACCGCAGAAAACGGACTCAAATTATCGTATGCCTATAATATACAACGATATCGGATTTTATACAGTTTTTCCGTGTTTTATAATACTATACGTACTTGTCGTCTCCGGTTGGTACAGCTCGAAACCAATAAATTATTGTTCACTGCGCCTATGCGCATTGATGGTATGATGATTATTGTGAAAATAATATCGTATATTTACATAATACCATTCACATTAGTTCATGGTCCATTCATTACTCACGGTGTGATTGTGTGCGTACTTGTAGTGCATTATTCATAATAACGTGTACCTATATCGTTTCCAGTTCCGCCGGATATAATCACAGACGAGTCGAGCCCAGACCTCACGCTGATGGAGGCCGAGAACGCCACCCTGTCGTGTCACGCCACCGGCAACCCCGAGCCAAAAATCACGTGGAGGCGGGAAAACAACCAGCCACTGATGCTGCGCACCGGTTCCAGAGACTTGGTCAAGCGTGAGTATTGCATTTATAATATATTATATTGGACTGCAAACGGGCACGCGAATCAAATAATTTCGAAAAATATATTGTTACCACTTACCGTGCGACGAGATGCCACTGGCCATATTATGATAATTCAATGTAAATAACTAATATTGTACTAGTCATATGTACGGCAATGCTGTGCGGTACCGACATATAATTATAGGTAGATATAGGGTTATTGAGTACGGGATTGTCGTAAGGTCATCCATTTGAGCGGTAGAGCCGTATAATAGGTTCTATCTCAATGCCGGCTCGATCCAATTATTGTCGTGAAAAATAAAATCGACAAAAGTCCCACCTGAAAATAAAACGAACGGGCCATTGACCTCTTGCAAGTCGGACGAGTTAAACCGTACAAATAGAAACATGCATAATAGGAGATACCTATTATAATTATAGTGCACGAGTTTTAAAACAATAATATTAATATAATATATTATCCACTCGGGCACATTATTATGAGGTAGTGTGATAGACCAATCCGCGTAATTGACACGACGCCGGGAACAAACATTTTCGTTGCACCCATACACTTTCCACAAAGTATATAAAATTACAGAGTATAATATTACGCACCGCGGCACTGCGACGATCCGTTATTCCGTCGCGTTTCTGTTACGCGGCGAACGTTCGGTATACACAGTTTTTTGAGGGGGGGCGGGTAATCCGTTATACGAGCCTGACCGCCGAGTGTCGAGATTGCAGAGGTTGACGTTAACTGAATATACCACTCTACGACCCTAAAGTCGCAGCCAACTCGACCCCGCGGCACCAGGCCCGACATGTCATCTTCACGACCAGAAATATAATCGTATATATAGGTATAGTACGCGCTGCTGCAGCTGTTGTTGTCGTAGTGTGCGTGCTCTTGAAAAGGACTCTCTATTATATATTAATATAATTTCGGCCACCCGACGATGAGTCAAAATTAAACCCGTCGGCGGCGGCGGCGGAGACGGAGGAGGTGGTGGTGGTATTTCGCAGGTAATCTCCCTCGCAGTTTCGTCACTGTCGTCGTCGGGCGCAAACGATTAAAACGCACGACGAGATGGGTAGGCTCCTATCGCGGAGCGAATGCAGAGTATTAGGGGGGGCGTAGGCAGTTTGACCAAACTGAAAGCGAGCACTCCCCCCCCCCCATCGCCGCTCAAAAGTCGACGGTCGCGGGATGCAAACGCCGTTTTTTCGGATGGACGATAATCCGGTCCTGACGCGCCCGCCGAGGTTTAAATCTGTCCAGAGTAGTGAAAAGGTAGCTGACGAAAATGTGACGAACAACGTTCGCTGTGCTCGCTATCGAGTCGATACTTCCCTGATGGTGATCAGTGATCAGATTCTTGATTTTTAGGAAAAATTGCAACTTATTCGTTTGTAAAGTGGTCGTGTGGATACGTCTGGATACGCCATACGTGTGCGGAGAAGCGTTAAGCTAATATTTGTGGCTAGAAAAAACTATGTCAAGACTTTCGACGATCGTTCTACGTCCATGTTACAAGCACTAAACATACACATACATACATAAAGTGTGTGTGTGTGTGTGTGTGTGTGTGTGTGTGTGTGTGTGTGTGTGTGTGTGTGTGTGTGTGTGTGTGCGTGTGTGTACTGCAATATACACTGTACGGACATATTATAACCCGTTGGTCATTGATCGAAGTGTTTGTATTTCGCACCGAACGATTATTATATTATATTTCCCCCAAAAAAAATAGCAGACAGGAAAAACGTTGTTGTTAACCGCCTTAGATTAATACATTCACACAACGTCTACGCCGCGAATATAGTGTTACTGACTCACATAATTTGGTAGCAACAACGATAGGTACATCGACTTTGTACGGACACAACAAGTCATATTAGAATGTGCTTCTTAGCCAGGGAAGTATTGCGAGATGGATTAATTATCTAGACGAGTAATAATCTGAAGTGATTGTAATTATGAAACTCGTGTCTTATTTAAATATAATATTAATTTTCAACATCTTAACTATAGTAGTACTTATTTCTCCATAATTTCCGGCCGATCGATTGGGCCCGCAACAATACGCGCAGCTAATCTAATATTCTACCTACCTACTTTCTATATTTACACATGACAGCTAAAATTAAATCCACTCATTTTTCCGGAGGTATTGAATTCTGTTTATGGTAGGAAAAATAAATTAATACAATTAATGTAAGTACCTACTTCAAACGTGTATAGAGTACATATTTACTACATTTCAATATTCCATAGTGTGTTCACCAAATTGCAATGTTTTATACGAACGAGCCAAGAAGAATTGTACATTTTTTTTAAAAATTGTTTCGTGTGTTGTGTTCATACATTGTGTTTAGAGTTCAAAATATAGGCATGTTGATGAATTGCTCATAAAAAAAACATCGTGTTTGTGCCAAATAAGTATTATTTCTCGTGTAGCTCTGTATGCCATACATGTTAAAGCTTTAAATAACGAATACGAAGAACAATAAAAAAAAAACTCCATTTAGTTTTTAAAATCCTGTTCGTATGCGCACAGTCATAAAACAACATTTTTCAATGTGTTCTACGGTGGTTTTTATACTATATTTTGTTGTTGTACCGATGAAATATGACATGGATTTGAAAACAAACTATCGACTAGCCGAATCGCTGTGCATATTATGAAATACTGTCGACGAAATGTTTGCAAATAATTTATTATTACCTCTAATTTTTATACTTTCTAACAATTGATTTTATCAATATTATTACTGTCCGAGGGCGGACAACGTTGAATTCACACAATGGAACTCGTACAGTGCATGCGAAAAATAACGCAGACTGTACAATCATATTAAATTATATTATGTATGATTAATCAAACAGTAGATGATGTTTATTAAGCTGTAAAAAAAAAAAATGCGTGAAGGTTCACGCACAAATTCGTCGGACCCGTTTATTCATAGAGAATTTTGTACAAATGACATTTGCCACAAAACGCCATTGTGTGAAACACTGTTACGGACAAATAACGCTTTTTAATTAATTCGGTCCTATGCAAATAATAATTACCGCTGACAAAACTATAGAAATTCACGTACGCATTTTGAACGGAGTTTTGCAGCTATTTATGTTGATAGAAACCGGCTGTTTTTACCACAGTATTATGTATTAGTAATAAAATTAGTTATGATTAATATTGTGCACAATATCCGTATATTGCACAGGAGCAGCAGTATTTTTTTTTTATTTCACGTTGTTATTGAAAAAAATATAATTTGTACAAGTCACCATGAAAACTATATCAAACACAACGATTCCACTAATGTGTACATAAAAACTATTTGAAAATTATACTTTAAAAAAAAAAACATTGATTATTATTTGATCATAAAAAAAGTAGAAAATAATTTGAAAAATGTTGATATCGTAAATATTTACACTTAAATTGTTTGGTAATGAATTTTTGAATATTACGTCATCGTTCATTGTTACAATAAATAAACAAATACAATTTCGTTCATCATGATTACCGACATTGTGGTAATACGAGAGCTTTCGGACGAAATTTCAAATTATCAATTTCAGATGCCAATAATAATCAAACCAATCACGAGATAAAATATTTTTGATACATTAAAATATTATTTAACACGAAATCGATACGGATTACATATTTACCTACATGGCCACGTGGCATATAAAGCTTACAAATAAACTGATTATATTATTATATTAAATTGGTCGGACGACTGTCCGTTTACGGTCGAATGGTTTTTTCCCTACAACAACAGTGTTTACTTTGTTTTAATGCATCATCCCAACTTCACGCCAACTTCACTCACTGGCTTTTACAAGTTTTTATCGATGATATGATTTGTATTAAACTGTCTTTTACATGCGTTCAACAATGAGCTTCATTGATAATATTAGTTCAATAATGACAATGAAGATTCCTCACGACATCATTATCCCATTATCACGAAATAGTTTTACATATCTATACATTTCATTTTGTGTTGATTAATAATTAGGTACATAATCTAATAAAATGTTTTGAGCTAATCGTTGTAGTGTCATCTGTGTAATATAATATGCTTTCGATCAGTATGAAAAATCGCTGCAAAATGTGCTGTGGTGATCCTATCGCAAACATCAGAGTGTGATGCGCGAGACGATTCTCGCTCAGTGGATAATTATATAAAAACGAAATTATTCGCAAAAGATTTGATCGTCTCAATGTGCGAAAACAGAAGCCTCGAAATTGTTTTTGGTACTCGATGTAGGGTATTCGAGTGGGTCTATTAAATCCAGAGCATATAAATCACGGGAACAGGACGATAAAGCGCGTCGTCTGAATTATAACAACGCCGAATACTTCGATAAGACCGTGTTATTATTGTGTACGCTAGCGTGTGCCTTACATTACCTTACACGAAATGTAGTCCATATAGCCGTGGTGTGATAGGTATATGTGTATAATATATGTGACTCTTTATTATCAGACTTTGGTCACACAGAACTAGCCTAAACACGCGAAATCGTTATCGGTTTCTCGTTCTCGGGCAAACACACACACACGCGCGTACACATACACACGCGCACGCACACACACACTGATACGAAACACAGGCGTAGGATGTACCTGTGTAGAATTATACTCCTTTTTCAATGTTAGCTCGCCGCCACCGGAGGTGATAATAATCGAGTTACAATGCAAGCTTGAAACCCTAATTTACACTGATATACTAAAAAGCAATCTTGTATAATTGTTGACCTATAACCACCACCGCGTTTCCGTCTCTCCACCCTCGAACACCAAATTATTATTATGGTTATGATATGTAATAATATTATTACTGCAGGTGTTCAAAATTCAAAATGATCGCAATGCGTTTACCGCACAAAAATATTATTACGTCTGATATTTATCATAATATAACTGTAAAAAAGCATAGCTTTTGATTTATTGCGGATTTATATTATTTCAAATCGATTCGCCTCACCT